AATAAAAAATTACAAATCATCAAAAGGGTACAAGAATTAACTATACGATTTTCCAAAATCTCCCTAGTCTTCTTCTTGCTTTCCAAGACAACTTGTGGCTCTTGATTTCTCTCCTTCTTGTCTCCAAGAATCTCTGAATTCTCTCTCCGTCTGTCCTTAGGGTTGAGGAAGGAGGGATTTTATAGTGGGTACAAAGTTGAGATGAAATAGAAATCTTGTACCAAATTGGACTCAAATTCTAATTCCTATATTTAAATAAAGAAATTGCCGTCTTTAATGATATTTAGAATTTGGAAGATTCCTTGAATTTCTAACTTTTAATATGGAGATATGAGCCTTGAAGTCCGCGCAACTGATATTAGGAAAAGAAATCTCGCATTGTATTGAATTTTTCCCAGCTGCGCCACTTTAGGCGTCTGTTTTTTTATCCGCGCCACTTTAGGCGTCTGTTTTTATCCCAGAAACAGACGCATATTCGACGCGTCGAGAATTTTCTCCACGCGTCGAGACTTTTCTCCACGCGTCGAGACTTCCTGTGCGCGAATTGATTAGCTACTGGAAAATTTCGACGTGTCGAGTCTACTGGGCCCTGAACTCATCCAAAATTGCTCCAAACTCATCCTTGAACTCCCCTTGGTCATATCTTTGACCTAAAATGGTTCAAAAACACTAACAAACACCGTAAAATATTCAAAACAAGTGCGAACCATAATTAAATGATAATAGCAAGGAAAACATGTATTAAATAAGCAAAATTAAAGAACTTAGTTACTGGATGATTCAAAATAACTATAAAAACAAGCAAAGATGTGATAACATCACTCCCTCACACTTAAGCTTTTGCTTGTCCTCAAGCAAAACTAAGGAATAAAATCGCAAGTCAAAACATACAAATTACTCATGCTCTCTCTTGCACAACCTTTCAAACCACCAACCCACTTGCTACAAAACAACAAGCTTCAAGAATCAAATTAGTTTGGCACATAAGAGACCCATTTCCAAGCCAATAACCAAGCACCAAGAATTTAAAGCATGTGAGGATCAAATGTGCACAAATACTCAGTTGAGATTATGCAAGATATGGTTCATGAATGAGATCCCTTAGGCTTGCCTTTCATACTCCCCTAGATCAAATCTAAGAATGCATGCTAAGATCAAATAGGACTTTATTTAGCTTGTAATGGGGCTACGAGTGATGGCTAACAAAGAAGTGGTATGGAAAAATTAATCAAAAAGAGAGAATGTCACAATTTATCTAAACTTTTCAAAATTTGGAAGAGATGAGATAATCATAATTCCAAGGAGCAAATTTCTTTTAAGAACTTAGCAACTCTTTGGTAAAGTGGGGATCCAAACTCAAAAACTTTCAATCTTTTTTTTTTTTTTTTTTTTTCTTTGCCTTTGGACTTCTTTTGGATATAGCAAGATAATTTTAATCCAAACTTTCATGACCTCCACACTTGAACATTTGTAACACTAGCTGCTTTTTTTTTTCGTAGCATAACTTCATAAAACTCTTCTTACGGAAAAGATAAAGATAAAAGTTTCATTCTCTCAAGGGTGGAAGGGAAATATTTGGCCACGGGCTAAGGGTTATAATAATGGGGTAAATCAAAGAAAAATAATCACAAAGAGGGGATAAGCGCTTAGCACTTATTTGAACAAACAAAAGGCACAATGGGGACACGAAGGATAAAAATATATATAGGGACAGGTTTAAAGGGTATGGCTAAACAAAAATGGCCTAAAATCACTTCAAAACATGCAAAACTTAGTCATCACTTAGGGAGTAACGAGGCAAGTTCTAGCAAAACACCCATGACCGGAATCTCACATAAGCCTTCACTAGCAATGCAAAACACAAGATCAAGAATTAATCCAATTATTAAGTGGTTAACAAAGCTATTGGCAAGGGAATAGATCAAATATGTGTTACACCTCAAATCATCCATCACAAATTGAGATGCAGCAAGCACCACTAAAACAAACCACAAACCAACAAGAGACCGTAATCTGATCTTTCTGTCTGGCGCAGTGTTGGGAAATAATTCGGGAAAAATACTTTTAGACCTTGGATTGATTTGAAACTTTTTTGTGTATAATCTAGACTCACTGTACCTTGTATCTGGAAAATTTCATCTGAAAATGTGTTACCAATATATTTCTATAAATTTTGCAATTCAGGTCATACCTTCTGAAAATTTCTGCCAGTTCCTTATTTGAGGTATTGAGAATTTGTTTGCTTGAGAAATATCAGTAATGTTGTCAATTTTATAAAGATTGAGGATAAAGGAAATTTATTCTTAAGACTTGTGTAGTATCCTGTTGTGAAATTCTGGATACTTGGGTTATGACCCAGTTTGTTGTGGAGTGAGCGGTTGAATATACCGACTCACTAGGGAGCTTAAAAACTCTCTGTTGTTTTGTGGAGTGGGCAGTAGAAACATATCCTGTCTCACTAGGACATTTAGTCCTGTTGTTTTGAGGAGTGGTTAGCGGAGTCTACCACTTGGGTATTTACCCTGTTGAGTAGTAGTCAGTAGAAACGTATCCTGACTACTAGGACTAGTTACTACCCATTGGGCTTGGAAACCCATTGGGGGTGTGCACACTTAAGGTATTAGTTCTGTTCCACTTTATTGAGATTTTTGCGTAGTGTTCAGTAGATTTATTACTGTTCACTAGGGCTTATTGAATAAGACCCTGCCCATTATTTGGTTGGTTTAAATGGGATTTTTGAGTAGTGTTCAGTAAAGAGAATTACTGTTCACTAGGGTTTAAATAATTAAGACCCTGCCCATTATTTGAGATTGAATGGGATTTTGTGTAGTGTCCAGTAGAGTGATTACTGTTCACTATGGCTTGATGAAACAAGACCCTGCCCATTATGTTGAAATTGGTGTTCCTCCATGTTGGAATAAATATATTACTTTAGAAAGGTTCCTAAAATATCCATTGTGAGAACTACTGATTTGGTATTAAAAATTATGAGTATTGTTGGGAAATTATGGTTGTTGGAAATTCTGAGTATTTCATATTTGAGTTATGTTCTATATGATTATGCTCTATTGATGATAAAAGATTAAATGTTTAAAGGGTCTATGCTTTATGCCAATTATCTATTCCTATGTACTACGAGAAGGGCTCGACACGTCGAAATTTCCCCCCCTCACACTTAAGCTTTTGCTTGTCCTCAAGCAAAACTAAGGAATAAAATCACAAGTCAAAACGTACAAATTACTCATGCTCTCTCTTGCACAACCTTTCAAACCACCAACCCACTTGCTACAATACAACAAGCTTCAAGAATCAAATTAGTTTGGCACATAAGAGACCCATTTCCAAGCCAATAACCAAGCACCAAGAATTTAAAGCATGTGAGGATCAAATGTGCACAAATACTCAGTTGAGATTATGCAAGATACGGTTCATGAATGAGATCCCTTAGGCTTGCCTTTCATACTCCCCTAGATCAAATCTAAGAATGCATGCTAAGATCAAATAGGACTTTATTTAGCTTGTAATGGGGCTACGGGTGATGGCTAACAAAGAAGTGGTATGGAAAAATTAATCAAAAAGAGAGAATGTCGCAATTTATCTAAACTTTTCAAGATTTGGAAGAGATGAGATGATCATAATTTCAAGGAGCAAATTTCTTTTAAGAACTTAGCAACTCTTTGGTAAAGTGGGGATCCAAACTCAAAAACTTTCAATCTCTTTTTTTTTTTTTTTTTTTTTTTTTTTTTTTTCTCATTCTTTTCTTTGTCTTTGGACTTCTTTTGGATATAGCAAGATAACTTTAATCCAAACTTTCATGACCTCCACACTGGCTGCTTTTTTTTTTTTTTTTTCGTAGCACAACTCCATAAAACTCTTCATACGGAAAAGATAAAGATAAAAGTTTCATTCTCTCAAGGGTGGAAGGGAAATATTTGGCCACGGGCTAAGGGTTATAATAATGGGGTAAATCAAAGAAAAACAATCACAAAGAAGGGATAAGTGCTTAGCACTTATTTGAACAAACAAAAGGCACAATGGGGATACGAAGGATAAAATATATATCGGGCCAGGTTTAAAGGGTATGGATAAACAAAAATGGCCTAAATCACTTCAAAACATGCAAAACTTAGACATCACTTAGGGAGTAATGAGGCAAGTTCTAGCAAAACACCCATGACCGGAATC